TTTCGAAGTGAGAGTGTTGGTGTATGAAATGTTTTTGTTGTGAGCAAGCGAGCAACTAGGAGCGAATCTACCTACTCAAAAGGTCTTTAATGTACTTTTCCTCCTATTTTAGACGTTGTTATCTTACCATTGATTTGGTAAGATGCCCATCATTGGATGTGAAGGGACAAGCGTGGGACGTTTGTATAGTCATAGAAGGCAACCTATGGGACATTTTAGCAATGTCGTTTAGGGACGAGATGGTTTACCGAAGGAAACATTGATGGTTATCGAGGGACTACGATCTTTTATCGAGGGTCTTTGCTAAAACGCCCATATTCGAGGGACATGACTATTTTCTGATAGGCAATAAAATGGGATTACCCTAAGGGTGCTAGTGTGTAAGTGTGTTTGATTTTCATGCATTTAGTCTTGATTAGGGTTATCTATTTGTTGATTTCATGTCTTGTCATACACACCCTAATTACTAGCATTTATACTTGAAAACAATAAATTGCAGAAATGTAAAGGTCCTACGCTATTACTTCATTTAGGGATGGGGGTACAAATTTATAAATGGGGGGTTGCAAGAATTTAAATCCTAATTACCTATTACAACCATATTGAAATGTACAATGCAAGAAAGAAAAAGGACTTGTTTAGAAAATAGTTTTTTGTCTTAATGAATTAAGAAAAAAGAAATAAAATAATTAATAAAAAGAAAATATTTTTATATCCTTTTTTATATTAATAAAAAGGGTATTAATAATAAAATAAAAGAGAAAAAGGGAAAAATAAAGAGAAATAGGATCAGCATGTTGCTGAAAGAAAAATAAAGAGGACCAGGAGTTTTGATGCCATACGCGCTGTGGTTCAGCAGGAAATATCAGAGGTGATAAGAAGTTATGAGTTGATGCATTCTGAGGTCCTGCAAGAAACGTTAGAGGGAAAACACAGAAGTTATGGGTTGCTACATGCTGAACTTCTGAGTGTTAAAACAATAAGAATATCATAGAAACTCTGCATGTATTAAAATAGTGAGGAGAACTCAGAAGTTCTGAGTTGTGCTAAAGCAGTGAGTGAAAGTCAGAAGTTCAGTGTGTTTAAACAGTGAGAAAATTGTAGAAGTTTTGTGTGTTGAAACAGTGAGGATAACTCAGAAGTTCAGTATTGTGCCAAAGCAGTGAGTGAAAGTCAGAAGTTCAGTGTGTTTAAACAGTGAGAAAATCATAGAAGTTCTGTGTGTTGAAACAGTGAGGAGAACTCAGAAGTTCTGTGTTATGCTGAATAATGAGTGAAAATCTGAAGTTCTGTGTTATGTTAAAACAGTAAGAAAGCCTATAAGTTCTGTGTGTTAAAACACTGAGGAGAACTCAGAAGTTCTGTGTTACATTTCAACTCTTTCCTCATATTAATCAGCACATCAACAATTTATTCAGTTCTTAACAGTAAATAAGAAGGGTAAAAGCACAACAGTTTATAGAAGTTCTAATTCTACTTCTGAACCTATCTTTATTTAAGAAGTTCTGATCCATAGTTTCTTCTACTTATGCAATGATATGGCCAGCATCAATACTATGATATTTAAATATTTAAATATGTTCTAAATGAAAATATGCAAAGTCAGAAAGACTTACCTTGAATCTGAAGTGTGTGCTTGGAACTTGAGCTGCTTCCTTAGGATGTTCTGGAGTCAGAGAGAGCAACGAAACAGTGGTTATGTTCTTTGATTCAAAAGGAAGAACAAAGGCTTTATTTAGGATTTCCGAAGGTTTTTACTGTTTCCTTTTCTCTCTTTGATAATTCTCTCTCTCTCTCTCTCCAAAAGCCATCCCCTTGAATGTGTGATGGAGCAACTTATTTATAGATGGGTTTGCTGTGGTTTTGGGGGGAAAAACAAATGGGATTTTTAACCTTTTGGCATACTGTTCCATTGCTTTTTAAACACAATTTTTGCATGCTAATTTGGTGCAATTATGGGGTTTGAGAAAAACGCAAGCGTGGACTGGATCAGCAGCACCTTGGAGCATTGTGGCAGCTGGTGGCAGGACTGTACTACAGCAGTGCAGCAGGTTGCTCAAATGAGGTTTTGAGATTTGGTGATGTTCTGATCGCAGGAGACCATAGTGAGATTCGAAGGGTGATGCTCTGACCGAAGCACAGAACATAGCCTTCATATGCTGAAGAGTCACATTCTGATTGATGAATCATGTTCTAAACCGTATTTGCAAATTCTGATTGCACTTGCGTGAAGGCTGGCCCAGAAGTTCTGAAGTATCATGTTCTCTTAACACTTAGAAAATTTTCTAAATGTTTAGAAATTTGATTTTTCAAAGTAATTTCTGACTTCTGATTTTTTATGAACCAATTTCATTTCTTGATGAAATAAAATTGTTGAAACTTGATTTTTGATCTAAAAGTCAAAGTTTGACTTTTCAGTGTGCTTTTGACCATTTTGCCCTTGTGAATGATTTTCTTGGAAAATTGTAATTCAAGACTTGAAACTTGATAAAAGCAAAGCTAAGAGTCCAGGATGATCTTTTGAGAAACGAGAGGGCAAATTTTAGGGTACAACAGACATCATAAAAAAATTAATATACCAACGCCCAGTGTTGAAGTCAACATGTACTTGGATTCTTGCAAAGCAACCACACCTCCTAGTTGGTTTATGTTCTCACTTTCTAACTGCAAATTTTTTGTATTTGTCATCTCTAGCACCTTCTCTATGGCAGAAAAATGTTTGTTGAACTATTTCACCATTGACATTCCTTACCATCTTACTTTTCCTACCAGCAAATCCATGGAGACATTCATACCAATTGTAAAACATAAACGCAACTTCACGACTGGAAAATGGTACTGCATTATTTGTTCAGAACTAATTTCTTTGAAATCTATTTTCTCCAGACCAGACACACAATTAATTATGATTTTGTCATAAAAAATGCAACCACCAGCTTTGCTGTTGTTGTCTCCGGCGTCTTCTTCTGATGACAAACTACCATCTTCAGAAACAAATATATCACCTAAATCCTATTCAAGATATATAATAATACATAAAAGTTATATTTTTACTCTGCGATAACGCATAATATTAACTGTAAATCTGTAGAATCCACCATTTAACCAACAATACGTACCTCAGTCGAACTATCATGTATTTCACTATTGTGAGATCCTTGGAAATTTGTTAATATCTCATCTAGCTCCATTTGAAAAATCTATTCAAAATGAACAAAATGCACAAACATAGTTAAACGAAATCACTAAACTTGATCCAAAGGCGGGTTGAAAATCAGTGTTGTAGTTATCATAAATAAACACAAACTACGATCTTTCCAGACTAGTCAAACCTAAGCCATAAAATTGTACTGTCCAATACACCATGAACATTACATTAACACAGTTAACGATAACAAAAACTAAAATAAACATACAAACACAAATCTTCAATCTTCAATAAAGCCTCGCTTAAAACCATGATTAAAGACAACGAAAGAATTCTTAAACGAAAATACGTTTCATTCAAAATCATTGTTGAAGAAAGCGAAAAATTAAATTCACGAACATCAAATACCTTTCTTCAAATGTTCAACTTCAATGTTTCCTTCTCTTAATGTATGAAATTCTTCAATCTGAACTTACTGATAGGTTTGGAGAACAATAGAGACACAAATTTTTCTTCCTTATTACTGTAACTTTCACATTGGAGAGATAAATAAATAATATGATTATTCTTATCCTTACTAATTAAAAACTCTCTTGATCAGGCTAAACACCACCTCTATTTTGTATTTCTACACTTAATAGAAAAAAATTTCCAAAAAGGAAAAAAATAAACGACTAGTTTTATTTGAAAAGATACAAAATCAAGGAGTAAAAGTCCACTTAGTGAATTGAGATATACTCCATAATGAATTATAAGGAAACATAACTCATATTTTTTTAGAAAAAGATACACAAAAAACAATCTAAAAAGCTTATTAATAACAAGTATTAATAAAATATCCATAACTCAATTTATCTTCTTATATTCTTAATGTCTAAATTTACTAATCATAGAAAATAGTTAATGCAATAAACTTATTTACCTATAAAACAAAAGTACTACTAGCAGGGCCCTAAGTTTGGTTTGATGAAATCTGAAAAAGCATGAAGAGGATATATGTCTTATTTACCACTACATTTCTGCACACTGCTCCACACCATTCACTCTCCACCTTCTTTCTCTCTTTTCTTTTATTGCACCACCCACCATCGACACCTACTCGCCTTTATTGCTTTTCTTTTTTCTTTTCAGGGGCCAACTAGCTTCCACTCCAAACTATTCCCACTCTTTTTCTTTTCCTAAATTACCCCAATCTCATTATAAAAAACAAGGGCAGTCTTGGAAATTGACCCGCCAGCTAAGCCATCCACGTCAAAAGATAACAAACCATAGTGACTTGTCTGACACGTAGGATTCCAACCCCGCATACCAACCGCCACGTGTACACTCTTTATTTATTTCTCCATCTACCCACCAGGTCCTTCTTTTCCCGTTATTAAAAACCGAATTTTACTTCCTTGTGTGCGCACAGCACACCAGAGAGAGACATTAGAGAGAGACGTTACTTTCTCACCACCGCCACATAACCACTTCCGGCCACCCTGTCGAAAAAAACCTCTCAACTTTTCACATTTCCCAGTAAGTAACCGCCGCTTTACTTCCTCTCCCGGTAACCAAAAGTCTCTTATCTTCTTTCATTAACCGTTTCAAATCCTGTCTTACACCACACAAAAAAAAAACTCTAGGTCCTTTTTCTTCAACTTTGCTTCTTCTTTGTTTCTCTTTCTCTTCAAAGCTGTTTCAAGGGCACTTTGGTACTTTTTCTCCTTCTGCTACTACAACTGCCACTGTCACATTCTGTTTCACACCCTCTTCTTTTTTTTTACCCCAAATTTAGTAGATTCACAATTTTATTTTGTTTTCCGAGCTCAATTTCAGTTTCAGATGAATGTTTAGTTTAGTGTTGAGGAAAATGGAAACTTCATTAAACGTTATGAGAGTTTTTCTCGTCCTCTTGCTGTTTCTGGTGACGGTGACGGTGACAGCTGTTAGCCCCTCTTTAAACGACGACGTTTTGGGGTTGATTGTGTTCAAAGCGGATATACAAGATCCAAAGGGAAAGTTAGCATCTTGGAATGAAGATGATGAAAGTGCTTGCAGTGGTAGTTGGGTTGGAGTGAAATGCAACGCTAGATCTAACAGAGTGGTGGAGGTTAACCTGAATGGGTTTTCTTTATCTGGGAGAATTGGTCGCGGGTTGCAGCGTTTGCAGTTTCTTCGGAGGCTTTATTTGGGGAATAACAATCTTACAGGGAGTGTTACTCCTAATATTGCTACTATTGATAACCTTAGGGTTCTTGATTTGAGTAATAATAATCTTTCGGGTGTTGTTCCTGGTGATTTTTTTCGACAATGTGGGTCGATGAGAGTTGTTTCTTTGGCCGGGAATTTGTTTTCGGGGAACATACCTTCTAGTTTAGGGTCATGTTCAGCTGTTGCTAATGTTGACCTTTCTGGTAACCAGTTTGTTGGTAATGTTCCTAAGGAGATTTGGAGTTTGAGTGGACTTAGGTCTCTTGATTTCTCTGATAATTTGTTGGAAGGTGAGATTCCGGAAGGTGTTGAGGCGTTGAAGAATTTGAGAAGTATTAACTTAGCTAGAAATAGCTTTTTTGGGAAGATACCTTATGGGTTCGGAAGTTGTTCGCTTTTGAGGTCTATTGATTTTGGTGAGAATTCTTTCTCCGGTAGTGTACCTAGTGATTTGAAGGATTTGGTGTTGTGTGGTTACTTTAGTTTGCGTGGAAACGCCTTCTCAGGAGATCTTCCTGAGTGGATTGGAGAGATGAATGGTCTTCAGACATTGGATCTTTCACGGAATAGATTTTCTGGTTTGGTGCCGAACTCTTTAGGGAAACTTTGGTTAATGAAAACATTGAATCTTTCTGGAAATGGCTTCACTGGCAATCTTCCCGAGTCCATGGTGAATTGCACAAGCCTTTTGGCTTTGGATGTTAGCCAAAATTCATTGTCTGGAGATCTTCCTTCTTGGATTTTCGGGTCGGATTTGGATTTGGAGAAGGTATCGGTGGCAGATAACAAAATGAGTGGTAGGGTGAAAAGCCCTTTGTATTCCTTGACTGAAGTTGTGGTTCAGAGTCTTCAAGTTTTGGATTTGTCTCACAATGCATTTTCTGGTGAAATCTCTTCTGCTGTTTCACACTTAAGCAGCTTGCAGGTTTTGAATTTATCCAATAACTCTCTGATTGGTCATATTCCAGCTTCAATCGGTGATTTGAAAACATGTTCTAGTCTTGATTTGAGTTATAATAAGCTAAACGGAAGCATACCTTGGGAAATTGGGGGAGCTCTTTCCTTGAAAGAACTTATTTTGGGAAACAACTTCCTTATTGGGAAAATCCCAATTTCAATTGAGAACTGCTCTTCATTAACAACTTTGTAAGTTCCTTTTCCCTTTGCCATATTTTTGCTCTATGGATAGTTTAAGGCTGTTCCAAACTTAGAAGATCTAGTAGTAATCTGCATGCTACATATTTGGTTAGAAAGTGTTTAACTTACCTAACTTAATTGGATAGATACATTGAAACCGAAGCTAGATGTTTGTTCATGGTTGTTGTTATGCCCTTTAATGGAGACATTTCTTTTGGTCTTACTTTTTCTATGTTCTATAAATGATAAAAAAACAACTGAAAATGTCTCAACTTTGATTCAGTTTGATATGTAGATTTCTATTATTTTGCATAAATAGGTATGTTGTGCACTTTTTATATATTGCTGCTACACCACTAGCAATGACCATGTTTAGTTCAATGATACTAGTTCTCACTTTTTCTAGACCCTGCCCTATCATAATTAAAAAGTTTTAACAAAAGACATCCATAATGCATCTAAGAGGATGGATGGTGACTGAAACTTGAACTACCAATCTAATATCTGTTATAGTAGCGTGGCTTTAATTTCTCTCCTTTCTTTTTTGGCACATTGTGTAGGATTCTGTCGAGGAACAAGCTGAGTGGGTCAATACCAGCAGCAGTTGCAAAACTCTCCGGCTTGAAAACTGTGGACATATCATTCAACTACCTTAATGGAAGCCTTCCTAAACAATTGGCTAACCTTCCCAATCTCTTGACCTTCAATTTATCTCACAATAACCTTCGGGGCGAACTGCCGGCTGGTGGTTTCTTTAACACCATTTCGCCATCCTCCGTTGCTGGCAATCCATTTCTTTGTGGGTCTGTTGTCAACAAAAAATGCCCTGTTAAGCTCCCAAAGCCTATTGTTCTGAATCCCAACTTTTCTGGTGACTCTGACCCAGGTTCGCCTACTCCATTGTCGGGTCACAAGAGAAATATTCTCAGCATTTCAGCACTCATTGCCATTGGTGCAGCTGCTTTCATTGTAATTGGTGTCATTGGCATCACTGTTCTCAACCTCCGTGTTCGGTCCGCCACATCTCGATCTCCAGTGGCCCTTGATTTTTCGGCAGGGGATGATTATAGTCGTTCACCAACCACAGATGCCAACTCTGGCAAGCTTGTCATGTTTTCAGGTGAACCTGATTTTAGCTCTGGTGCACATGCTTTGCTTAACAAAGATTGCGAGCTTGGGCGTGGAGGATTTGGTGCTGTGTACCAAACAGTACTAGGAGACGGTCGCTCAGTTGCTATAAAGAAACTCACCGTGTCGAGCCTTGTTAAGTCACAAGAAGATTTCGAGAGGGAAGTTAAGAAATTGGGAAAAGTCAGACACCAAAATCTTGTTGAACTCGAAGGCTATTATTGGACTTCATCACTTCAACTCCTCATATATGAGTTTGTCTCTCGCGGTAGCCTTTACAAACATCTCCACGAAGGATCAGGCGAAAACTTCCTAACATGGAACGAAAGGTTTAACGTCATTCTCGGGTCGGCGAAGGCCTTAGCTCACTTGCACCACTCCAACATTATTCACTACAACATTAAGTCAACCAACATCCTCATCGATAGCTATGGTGAACCTAAAGTAGGCGATTACGGCCTAGCAAGGCTGCTACCAATGCTCGACCGCTACGTTTTGAGCAGCAAAATTCAAAGCGCACTCGGCTACATGGCACCAGAGTTTGCCTGCAAAACAGTGAAAATCACCGAGAAATGCGATGTTTACGGATTCGGAGTTTTGGTTTTGGAGATTGTGACAGGTAAAAGGCCTGTAGAGTATATGGAGGATGATGTTGTTGTACTTTGTGACATGGTTAGAGGAGCATTGGATGAAGGAAGAGTAGAGGAATGTATTGATGAGAGGCTACTAGGGAAGTTTCCAGTAGAAGAAGTGATTCCTGTGATTAAGCTTGGTTTGGTATGTACTTCACAAGTGCCATCTAATAGGCCAGAAATGGGAGAGGTAGTAACCATATTGGAGCTTATAAGATGCCCTTCAGAGGGACAAGAAGAGTTGTTGGGATGATGAATTGGATTATTAACTTGTTGTTTTCTTGATTAGGAGGTTAGAGAAACAGTGAAATGGATTAACCCGGCGAAGATGAATCCGGTTTTAATTAATTAATCAAAGAGACAGAGAGATTGTATTATTTTCAATGTAATTTAGAATTGTTGTTAGTCTTTAGTTTCATCTTTTTAAGATTTCTCTGTTGTTGTGCCATTACTGGATTCTTTTTCACCGGGGTTTCAATTTGGATGAAATTTGAAAATTGTTGTCGTTGTTCAATCAATGATGTTTCATATTCTAGTTTGTTTCTTTTGGTGTCGTGCTTAGTTGTTTTGGACCTCTTTTTCACTTTTGTGTCTTGAAAAGACCATAATTTCGTACACTTTTGGTGTTGGGCGCATGCAAGAGGTATCGTTTTGTGGTGTCTTTTTGTTTGGTGGAGAATCTTGTTGGAAAGTTGGATATGTTTGAAAAAGAGAATCCTATCTTCTAATATGACTTGAGTGTTGTAACGAAAAATAACATAAATATCAATATCCTAGCACTTTTTTAAAACTAACTGACAAAAAATTATAGTAGCAATAATGATAAGTATTGAGACCAAGGAATATTGATGTATGTTCAATAAAGATACTCCTTTTATCGCAAAGAATCATTTCACATAGATTAAAAATAATAATAAATAAAAAGATAGAAAATAGTGATTTTATTAAATTATCTTGATTAATTATTAGTATATTTAAATTAATATTAATATTAAATAAGAAAGTACTAAATTAATAATATTTATTAGAGAATACAATTAGAAGATTAAATATAAAATTTCATTGATAATCTAAAATCACAAATATTTTGAAATAATTTTTTTTTAAATGTGATATTTATTTTGAGAGAGAATAATATCTTTTGTTTGTTTAGGAAAAAACATTTCTAAGAACATGCTTTATATATTGTAACCCAAAAATACATGCTTTATGAAATTTACATTCTATGTCAATTCTACTAGTATGAGATAAGTACCAATTTATTTATTTGTTGGACTTAATGTGTTTTAGTTAAAGATAAATAGTTGAAAATAATCTGGTTTAACTATGGTTGAAATAATTTTTAACAAAATTATATTTACATTTCAATAAAACTTAGAATTATTAGTATCATTTTTCTTTAAAAAAAAAATTAAAACCAAAAAATTCTATCAAATAATGGATTTTGTTAGTGTTATCGACCGCTCAGCCCTTATAACAAGAAACTCCAAGACCTAGTAACTATTATGATGTAGAAGAGGAATCTATTGGGAAATCGGGAAATCTCTTTTGTTCGACGAAGAATCTCTTAAAGGCGGAGAAGGGATGTATTTGTAAGATTAATACTCTAATGCTCAATTTAGTAAAATTAGAGAGATGTAACTTGCAAGAATAGAGTGAATGTGCATTTGTATGGTGCCCAATCACATTTATATATGAGTGATGGTTAAAATTGCTCCCGATGAATGCGACATAGAATGCGGAGACAATTAGATTGAATGGTTTTTGGCTCAAACGTTCGACTACTTGGTGAAAGTATACATGCTCTTCAATATTGAGAAGTCAAAGATCTAGATCGGACTTTTGAACTAGGGTGGTCTTACCGTTTGACCGACCCAAAAACAATTTTCCTTCAAGTCCTGGCTATCAGGCACAAAGCTATGAATGTTACAAAATTGTTGAGATTGGTCTTTGAAGTTTTCATCTTTGTTGTTTCAATGCCTCCAGACAGTCCTTTGTTCTAAGGAAGAGATTAGTGGTGTGTTGAATGAGAGTAGTTGATCTCAAAAACACATACATTAAATGCATGATTTGTAATTGAAACAATTCACAGTGGAAGTCTTCCATTTGGCCTTAGGCTTTTAGGAAGTATGGTAATGTATTTAGATTGCTCAAGTGTCATTATATAATCGATGACAGATCTTGATCGTTTAATCATGTTTTCAATGCTTCTTTGATTATTGGTTGCAGATCACAAGAGTGGGATTAATTTGTCTTTTAATCTTCTTCGTCTCCAAAGCGTTATTTTTTTCACACTTCTTGTTGCTTTAAATCATCATGTCTTTCCGTTTATTTGGCATTCCTTCTCTATTGTGAAGCTCTTCTCGGGGATCTAATGATTTAGTTCCTTCATTTCTTGAAACCTATGAGTATCTCGTGTCAGTATTTACCTCAAAGAAGTTTCCACAAGTTTTTATTTTCTAGCTTTACATTTAGTTAACCTTCATGATTTGTGGCGAGAACGGAAGGCTCAGATCTATATTATGGGACATAAATGTGCTTTCGTTTGTGAACCTATTGATAATGAAGTTAGATGGTGGGTAGAGTCACATTCATGTGCTTGTACTTATGGTCACTCTTTTTCTTTTGTCTTTTGGCACCAAAGCAACAATGGACTGAGAGGATACCTCTGTTTGCTGATGAAGTGGGTCTAGATAACACATTCACCATGTTAAGCCCTTCATATGATTTAAAGGGATGCCTCTTGAAAGCGAATAGAGGTTGCACAGTCGATCTGCAGAGTATGTTATTCCCCTTAATGAGTGTCATTTCTTCAATATGAGGTTCCGACCCCTCTTTAATTATTTTGAGGTGAAGATTATGAATCATATGGGGGTCTCTTTATCATAGCTATATCTTGTGAGTTGGGCCTACGTAAAAAATTTTAATACTTATGAAAATACAAGAAAGGCACCCCTGACTCTGACTCTTTTCTTCCATCTTTTCAATATTCAACAAATTTCATCCAACTCAGACCGAGGTCAAGGTTTGCTCTTATTCAGGCAGGACAAAAAATGTTTGAAGTATATGTAGAAGGTATGAAGAGCTTCAAGGAAAGATCTTTCCTAATCACAGTTATTACTTACACTAATTACAAGAGTATTTGTGAGACTCATACCCAAGATACATTCAAAACGTACTGAAAAATTCCCAAAATTTTGGCGATAAAATCACTTCCTAGTACGATCAAGATCATACACATATTAGACCATTGATATATCCCAAGAATAGAAGTATCTGAAGAATAAGTTCACCCTTTTCTAAGAAAGGGCTAAGCTTTGTTGGAAGTGCATGATCTACTAGCGCTAGTTCTTCAAAACATAAAAGGCGATATATTGTGACTCATCTTTTAGTTGAAAGAGATACCAAAGTGAAGAGGTGAAATATATTTAGTAAATAAAGAGACATAATTTAAATACTCGACTATTATGTATTTATGGTATTTACTAATTCTTATTATCCCTTATTTTATCTTGCATACAAGATGAGTTTCCTGAAGACTATGATGAAAATGAAGAAGGCATGGAGAAATACGCCCTTGCCATTAGTCATTGTTTTCATGTGGCCTCTATCAAGATTTGTTTCCTTTGACAATTCTTCTATTGGGGAAACCTAGATGGAGGAATCCTCCTTGGTCAGAGGTGAATAATCATAGGTGTCTTTACGCCAACTTGGCGATGAGGTTGTTCCTAGGCCTTCGTTAAGGGAGTCCAACAAAGGTTCCCAAAAGAGACTACAAGAATGAGGGTTTGTGATAGATTATGAACCTTTTTTTCGGTTAACACACCTCCTAGAGATCACGAGAATGAGCACTAGACCCGAGAGGGATGGATCTCATAGGAAGCTCACACGTCCCATTAGTAATCACGCCCCCGTCATTTCTCATCAATCACAATCCTAAAATGACCAAGGAGATCCAAGCTTATGTCTCTAAAGAAGATTACACTTATTTTACTGGTAAGGTGAAGACAATTTATCGTAAGAAGATGGAAAATTTTCATATTAGATGTGAAGGGCAACTGCCTTATTGACTTTTGGAGTTGTATGAAAGAAGGGCGTAATTGCCACCATGTAGCCTTCAGAGGGTGAAGGAAACCCTTCAAGGGCATCTTAATGTAGTTACAATTCAAATGGATCAGTTTCTTCATGAGTTTTATGAGTCGGGGAAATGTTAGAAAGATGTGGGCCACGAGGTGCAGAAACATGGATCCCCTTCTTCACTAGACAAGACGGTAAATGGATTGTCCTTGTAGGACAAAGAGAAAGAAATGATATTGAATGTTGTTCAAAAGATGTTATTTGATATTGTTCTTTATAGAAGACTGAAATGATAGCATTCTAGTTATCAATAGACAACAGAGCTTGAAGAATTATCAAGATAACAAATTCCTAGTTCTGTAGAGATAAAAGGGAAGAGTTTGAGTTGGTTCTTTGTCACTCTGAAATTATCAACTTCATGTTCTATGAAATTGGTAGGTTTTCTGCACCACTTGTATTGTAGCCAAAGATACTTGAGAATTTCTCAAGTCCACTCACAAAGATACATCTAAGTGTGTTTGGAATAAAATTATTCGGATGTGAAGATGATCAAGGAGTTTTCTCAGGTTTCTAATCAAGAAGTTTGACATGATAGTGACAAGCTATTGAATAAAAACAAGAATATTATTTTTCAACTTACAGAAATTTTACCCTAGTCTCTAATGAAGGGTTTCTTATTATTATTGTGTTCCTGGGAAGGAAATCCAATCATACGTTGAAGAGTTTGAATAGGATGTCTAGACCAAATGTCAAGAACATTTGTACTAACTTCAACACGTTTGTGATGCTAAAAGAAAAAGGTTGGAACTGGAGTATAGATCAATCAATGTCAAAACATTCTCATGAGTGTGATGACCTTGAATATTTGTAGAGCAGAATGCCCTACTTATCTCAATAGAAATTGTATAGGTTTTCTATATCTGATTTGACTGGAAGATGGATTTGTAATGAACATTTCTGTTTTGAAGAATTATTTCATGATATGCTGAATGTTTTATTCAAAAATTTGTGTATCTAGAATAAAAGTGTTAACAACCATGAAGAAATATGAGTTGAGTTATTTATGATCTTATGTCTAAATAGAATGAATTATTATCTACCATATATAACTTTCAAGGTGAAATAACTCTATTAATCCTAAAACTTGATATCAAAGATCAAATGTGTAAGGATAGTTCAGTTTTGTCGAAAGAGGTTTCTTCTAAAGGAAAGATTATCGAAAGTGTTGGGTTTTCTAGCTAGGATTAGTGTAACACCCTTATAAACCTAAATGAATATTAATAATTATTTAAAATAATATCAGAGTAATACAACAAAAGAGCGTCACATTTTATTCATGAAATAATCGTATGTGCTAGTCTTACTCCTTAACACAAGTTTTTCAAAATTATTCATGACATATGCATTACCAAAATTTCACATAATTACAACAAAATCAAAGTTCAAACAATTTCATTAAAAACACTTCATAGTTCCCCGTGATTCATGGTTCACAATTCAACATAATTTAAACTCCATGAAAACAATTTAAATGTCATAACAAAACAAGAACAACACAAGTTTCAAATAAAATGTTCCCGTCCCCGATGTTACATATCAGAGCAAGACCTTCTAACTCAAGAAAATAAAATACACTCCAAAGCTATTCTTTCAAGCCTTTGGGGACTACTCCTGATTACCTGCACGTTACCCATAC